ACGCGATGCGCAACGGTTTGCAGCCGCTTCGGATGGCGTCCACATTGGGACATGAGCTCGTCTCCGAACACACGCACGACCAACGGCGCTGCTCGAGGGGCTGCACCAGTACAGGCACGTGGGCGAAGTGCAAGCGACGACGCTCGACGCCTTCGCACAGAGGGAGCGGCAGCAGACGCCCGACGCGGCCAAGGCCGACACGGAGGGCGCCGAGCACGAGGAGCGGCGGGAGGGGAGATGCGGTGCGGCGGGCGGGAGGAACGCCGGCGAGAGGCTGCAGAGGAAGGGAGGGCGCCGGAGGGAGGGGCGGAGAGGCGGAGGGAGGGGCGGAGAGGCGGAGGGAGGGGGCGGAGGGGGCGGAGAGAGGAGGGAGATCGGAGAGGCAGAGGGAGATCGGAGAGGCAGAGGGAGATCGGAGAGGCAGAGGGAGATCGGAGAGGCAGAGGGAGATCGGAGAGGCAGAGGGAGATCGGAGAGGCAGAGGGAGATCGGAGAGGCAGAGGGAGATCGGAGAGGGGGAGGGAGATCGGAGTGGGGGAGGGAGATGCGCGTGGCAGGGTAGGAGAGGAAGCGCGCGGGCGGAGGGCTGCGGCCCTCACCGGCCGGGCAGTCCCGACTTCTCCGCCTTCTTCGCGGCGTAGGCGGCGAAGCACTCTGGCTGCTCGGTGCGCGCCTGGCCGGACGCGGCTGGCACGGCTGAGGACGCATATGCTACGGCTGGGGGCATATGCTACCAGGTCACAGCATATGGGTTCGGGACGTATTCACAGCAGTATGACGGGGCCCCCCTACCCCTGGAGCAAGTGTGGATTCCGTTTTCGGGCGGGCGCGCGTTTGAACTGCAGGGCGCGATGGCGCGTATGTGGCGACGCGGCGGGTGGCGCTCGGGGCGCAGGACGAGGACGGTGAGGGCTCGGGGCGCGGCGTTCCAGCCTCGGCTCCATCTGTCTGTCTGTGGACGTGTCCCGGGCGTGTCATGGACGCGCGACAGGCTCGCCCTCGAAGGCCGGCACACGGGCCGGCCCACCCCAGGGGGCGCCTTCTGCCTCGGTACCGGTAGCGTGCCGAGAGGGTCGCGGGAGGGTCTCGGTGGGCCTTTTCTCTCTGCGGTGTTCCTGGGTGGTGGCAGGTGTGTGTGTGTGCGCGCGCGCCTTGCAGACCGCAGCATGGCCGTCGAGCTCGCAGCCCGTGACGGGAGGTGGCGGCGGGTGGAGGCGGTCTTTGGGGCAGCAGAAGTCGGAGCACATGTCCGACGTCGCCTTCACGTACCGGTCCGGCATCGAGACGTACCCCTTGGGGCAGCCGACTCCGCAGGCGTGGTCCTGTGCGCGGCGGGCAGAGGCGGGGGAGGGTGTTGACGGCGGCGCAGGCGCAGATGCGGCGGCGGCTCGGGCGGTTGGGTGAGCGCCTCGTAGCAGCCGGTGCCCTTGTACGGGATCGGAGGGGCAGCCGCGGGCGGGCGCGAGTGCAGGATATCGCGAGGGTTAATACCGAAGATCTTCTCAACCGGGGCAGCCGCGGCGAGCGCGAGCGTGAGGGTGGCAAGCGCCATCCAGCCGCGCAAGAGAGCAGCGCAGTGAGAAGGAGGCGGCCCTGGAAAAAGAATTCGGGTTGCCGGCAACCGATGCGACAGGCCTAAGGTGGGGACGTGTCTGTCCTCGACCCAGCCCTAGCTTGGGATGTCCGTTGTATTTATTTATTTATTAGGCCTAGGGTGGGCGACGGCTAGCGCATCACACCCCTCTCCTTAAAATCCCTGTGCGGTGGCGGCGTGCCGTCCTCCCATCCCTCCCTCTTCTTTCTTTCTTTTTAGGAGGTGTGTGTGTGTGGTTGTGTGTGTGTGTGTGTGTGACTGGTGTGTGTCGTGGTGGTTAGGTATGAGAAGAATACTCACTCGCTCACCTCAACAACATCATCATCCCCGTCTCCCTTTTCTCCCAGGACTTGTATCTTAAGAATTCTCCCAGGAAGCTAAAAGTGAAGCTAAAAGTACGTACACGAGGGGTCCCGTACCATGCGGACTCGCCCCTATCCAGTGCTCAAGTGCTCAAGCACGTGACTGACAATTAAACCTCTCAGTCAGCTTCGTGTGTATATAGAAAGGCGAAGAACAGTCAGCTCGGACTGTGTTCTCACTGACCTGTCCCGCGAACTCGGATCGAACTCGGCCGTCCAACTAACGTCTCTGAGCAGCGACGCGACCAAGCGACTCCATGCTTCTCCTCGCCTTCTCCGCGGCCGCGCTCGCCGCACCGGCGCCGCCCGCGCCCGCGGGAGAGGAGGTCGGACGGGCCCTCATCGCGCGCTCAGGGCGGTCGAGTGCACGGAGCTAAGTGCGCCTCGCCGCCTTCGCAGGAGTCGCTCAGGCGGCTCCCGTGGTGTACCTGTGCTAGTGCCAGTGCACGCCAGACTCGTGCGCCGTGTTGTGCCCAGAAGACGGCTTCTGAGGAAGCCGTCGCCCGCGCCTCGCGCCCTCGCCTGTCGCCCGAATCGTGCTGACCGCCTTGTTCGTTGTAAAATTCTTTCTTGCGCGTTGACTGTGACGGCACAGCCCATCCTGACGCTCGCGGCGCTCCCAGCGCCGCCGACGATGCGAGGCCCGGCCGGGTCGCGCCCGGGCAGCCCTCCTCGCGGCCGCTCTGTGCGCGGCCGTGACCCTCGACGACAGCTCCAGTGCCCTCCGCGCGCGTGCGCGCCAAGTGCAGCAGGATCCTTTCCTGCAGCAGGGTGCAGAAGGCGCTGCGGGACTGCTCGCCGCTGCGCGGCGCGGCAGGGGCGCCTCGGCGCTCGGCCGCTCGGGCGGCGCGCTCGCGCTCTGCGCGTCCGCGCTGCCCACGCGCGCAAGGCGCGCACCAGAAGCTGCTGCTGCTGCTGCAGTAGTAGCTGCCTCCTCCTTCCGGCCGGCTGGTACGAGCGGGCGGGCGGGAGGCGGCGACGGGCGGCGGCTGGGGGCCGCGGCGGCGCGCGCTCGAGAGGCGGAAGGCGGTGCCCGCGAGGCGCGGGCCGCGGTGGCTGGTGGCGTCTTTGGCGCTGCTGAGGTGGAGGTTCCCGCCGGCGGTCTGCCGCCGGCGGTGGGTGGGGAGGGCGGCTGTCCTTGCCTACTCCTTATTCCTGGACGAGCCCACGTCCACGTCACCGCCGGCAGTAGGTCGCCCGAGTCCATCTCGGGTGCGGCCGGCGCTGCGTCTTCTTCTTTTGTGGTGCCACAGGTGTGGGGAGCGGGCGGGGCGGCTGCTGCGGCAGAGGCGGATTGCGGGTGCCTCCGCCCGGCTTCTGGTCCTGGATGAGCTCGCGTTCACGTCACCGGCGGATGTCAGCCGCCCGAGTACTACTCCTGCCGCGTTTCTTTTTTTGCACGACACCGGGTACGGGACTGGTGCACTAAATCGTGCAGAGATCGACTTGTTCGATGACGACGGCCCCTGAGGCCGTCTGCTGTGTCCTTTGTAGTGCCAGTCCCGTACCCGGTGTCGTGCGAGAGAGTCTTGTCGTAAAATTCTTTTTTTGCGATGCCACAGGATCGGAGGGCGGGCTGGGCGGCCGTCGAGACGCCGGTGGGGCGGCGGTCGAGCGGGCGGGCGCGAAGGCCGGGCGAGGCGGGCGGTGGGCGAGGCGGCTGCGGCGTCGTGGGCGCGCGTGGGGGAGGCGGCGCGGGCGGCAGGCGCATGCGCGGGGGAGGGTTGGGCGGGGGGCGGAGCCGAGGGCAGCTCACGGGGTTGTCCGGTGGGGCGGGGCGGGGCGGGGGGGGGCGGGGT